CTAAAACTAAATATGGCTGTAATTAAAAGAGCCAATCATCGCTCAGTACTGCAGTTATAGGAAGTTGCATTTTAAAAATGCCAATCACCTGTTTGTTTACGATATAACGTACATATCCATTAAACAGATCAACTGGAGAGACTGGAGCTGCACGACTAAAAACAGCTCCCAGTGACATTACAAATATAGTCAGTGAACAAATTGATGTCTGTCATTTACAGGGACTTTGATTTAAATGTGTTGCTTTCAACAACGTTCTAAGTGTTTAATGCTTTTAATTAAATTATTGCATTAAAGGATAAGTTCACTTCCAGAATGAAAATTATGTCATCATTTACTCACCCTCAACTAGACTTGTGCCGGTATTCGGTAATGCGGTATATCACGGTAATGACTATGCACGATATTGTTATCGTGGGCACTTCTAAATACCGTGAATAATTATATATTACAAATTATTCCGAATTTTTAATGCTTTTTAAGAATACTTTTCCCATCAACTGGTCAAAATGCACAACACGCTGTATGCTGCCTGAAAGACGCATGCACACTCTGATGTAAACAAGCCGGACATGAAGCACATGGCGGAACATGTGAGAGACGCTCTTATTGCTTTATTGCATTTAAATGTTCAGTTATTTTTGTTATAAGAAAAAAGTTATTAAACCTGTTATACTGTATTATGACAGCACTTTTTTAAAACTAAATTGCAATATCGTGACAATACCGTATACCGTGATAAAAGCATTAGCAATTAATCACAACATGAAAATTTGATACCAGCATATCCCTACCCTCAACTTCTTCCAAACCTGTATGAGTTTCTTTCTTCTGTTGAACAGAAAAGATGATATTTTGAAAAATGTTAGTATCCGAACAGTTGATGGGCACCATTGACTTCCATAGTATTTTTTTTTTCCTACTATGGAAGTCAATAGTGCCCATCAACATTTTTCAAAATATCTTTTGTGTTCAACAGAAGAAAGAAACTCATACTGGTTTGGAACAAGTGGAGGGTGAGTAAATGATGTCAGGATTTTCATTCTGGAAGTGAACTACTCCTTTAAGTTGCTCAGTTGGGTGCTATAATCAGCATGCAGATTTAATGAAAATTCAGTTGTCACCACCTACATTTTTCAGGAGTGTATTTAGTGGCAGAATGCGACACAATGTAAAGTTGTCACAAATAACCGAACTCTGAGTGTACAGAGTGAGGTCAATCAGTCAGCAGAGGAGTGCCAACTGTATTTAGAGCAGCGCGAGTGTGCATCATGTAGCCAGAGAGGCAGCAGTCTTGATGGAGGGGATTAAGTTTAAGCTGCAGTCCATTCTATGATCACTTGGGATCCTATCCAAGTCTGCTTTCAATTCCAGACTATACGAGTTTTGGGAAATGGTTCATTGAATGTTTAAAGGTGCACTAGAGCATTACATCTTACTGTCTGACTCACACCGGTTCATTCTGAGAATTAGATCATGTATTATAGATCATTAGATCACGTCAGTAGCCACAATGTTTGACTACAGTTTCCTTCAGAGAGAAGGAGAGATTAACAGCACACAAACAGGAGGGTGGTAAAGACGCAGAGATCAACAGAAAGACACTGTTGCATCAACCTCTTCCTCATTGAAGTCTGAAATTCAGCACCATGTGAAATGGAGTCTTGTGCCGTTTCATTTCCTCAGTGCAAATCATCAGTGACACAACTGCACTGTCACAGCATTAGAAGCATTCAAGGCATAACAGGGACTCAAACACACTGCAGACTGTTACTTCACAAAACAAAAAAGCCATCACTAAAAGAGTTCATGCCCCAACATGACATAATTACGTATTGCGAGTTTGCTAGCACAGCTTAACAGCTTTTATCCATGTCTGTGTGATCATTCAAAATGCATTATGACATCAGAAACACTATGTGACTTACGCCTTTCATCTAAGAGGTAAAACATAACACTGTCTTACATAACTTAACAGCATTCACCTGTTATCTTTGAAAACCATTATAAATCCACCTATTTTTGAAAGAAAAAAATATATAGGCCTATATATATAGAGAGAGAGCGAGAGCGAGAGAGACCGTTATTTTAAATATATATTACAAATGTTATATATTATTTATAAATATTACTATATATATTATGTTATTTAACAAGAAATGTTAAATAACTCTTACATTCATAATCTCACATATGTTTTGTTTTATTCTGATGTTATTTAATTAGGAGTGTATATTTTAGAACTATAATAATAAAAAAATTAAAAAACACAAACAAATCTCCATTGTGATTGTATCATGGGTCCACTTTGCACACCCAATGCAACAAATCCATTTATCCCCACTCATACAAAATGAATTGTTATGGTAACTACAGGTGTTACATTTTAAAAGAAAATTACATCCAAGGGACCTTTTACCTTGGATGTGTGTCTTTAGACCCATTATATCCTTATAAAGAACAACATGTGTGATCACGAGTGATGAAAAAAAAAACACTTCTGGGTCATATAGTTAAATAGTTATTTTTATAAAAAAAAGAAACAATAAAAAAAGAAAAACGAAATCATATATTGCCTAGACCAGGGGCAAGTTTATTAAAAATTCTCATTAAAATTTTACTGTCAGATGGACAAATAAATATTTACTTGAACTTTAGCTTCAAGTTTACATAAAAGCCTAACATTTAAATTTTACAGTGGGATGGGCAATTAATCAAATAACTGAGTATCTGAAATGAGTGAGGATTTTTTACTAAAGTGCAGATGTAATGTGCAAGCAACGGCTTCACCATAACAAAAATAGAAATATACAGTGAGACATTTAAGATGATTGGGTGAGTGGATTCTAACTTAAACACCTCTGATTGGCCATTGTGTTCAGGAGATCAACAAACATGTCTGTGATCGGCTAAATTTCTCAACGTTGCAAAAAATGTGCTGTAAACGGGAACATTTCACATTCTCCAGAACTCAAACTCAAAAACACAATGGCGTGTTTGCTACATCTGTTTCGCCAATAATATGATAGCATTACAGTATCAACTGAGGGTGCTCTTGCTTTTGTTTCAGGGTGCTTATATTTAAAATTGACTTTGTCATGTTTTTTTTTTTTTTTACAAAAAAATATTTGATCAAACAGTAATTGGCAGACCCCCTGCAGTACCACTGTGGACCCCTGATTGAAGACCCTTGGCCTAGACAATAGAATAGAACTGCCTTTCTGGCAGCTATGACTATAGTTATGACCTCAGTTAAGGATAAAATAAGACCCCATTATAATGAAATACAGCTAGTTATTTATTCATGGATGCCTCTAAAGACAGACTCATCTGCCAATGGATGCACGAACAATCTGGATGCACACACTCTCCAAATGAAATGCTGTTTTTTCTCTGTACAACGGTCAGAACAGTTCTATAATATTGAAGATTTACGACAGCCTCTCTCTCTTTCATACACACACACCTGGAGCAAGTCTAAATAGAGCTAACGCAATACAAACCACTCAGCATTTACGGGCTGCTTAAGTTAATTATTAATGACTTTTAAGACATGAAGTGCATCAAGTTGTACAGGCCACTTTCTCCTTACTCAACGCTGCTCTTATCAAAAGGTGTTGGCTCTTTGAGCTCCAGTTAAGAGCAGTGGGGATCAGCTAAAGCAGTGCTCAGTGATTTGATCAAATAACGGAAAAGAGGTGAAGATTTTCTCCCCCCTAATCCTTCAACATAATTACAACTGTAATGGCTATCCAATGCATTTGCAACGATTTGAAACATGATCCGTACACACACACACACACACACACAGGCCCTTGTTGCCAGGAGAGCAACTACACGGAAGAATTCAGAGTGATTTCTTGTAAACATATGGGTTTATGTTGGCATTAACCCATTAGAAGAAATTCTCAAGGGGGATTTTTTTTCTGTTTCCAGTGAATGAAATAACATTCTTGAACCTTTAATGAAAATACTGCTTTCCTCAAGTGACATTTTACGGAGTGGGTTACAATAAATAGGATACATATGAAGAAAAATATATTTTAATAAGAAAACATAATTGATCTTGCTCCAGTTTATTATTAACTTATTAATTTATTCTAATTGCCTTCATATGAGCATTACCTCAAACTGTCCCGAAAAGGGACATCTTGATCTCTATCAGTGTGAGGCGGATTTAATCATCTGGATACGTTTTGGAAGTCTACCTTCATGTAACATACCTAAATCAATATGTTATATGTTATTTTTTCATCTATAGCTACTACAAATGAATTTTATGGATGTCCTATTTATCTGCATTACTTTCATTTGACTGATTGAATGTACCTGTTGGTTCAGGTTTTTAAACGTGTGGTATGTTCAATATTATTTATATTTCTACAACCTGATATCAAGTTAATCTCCTAATATCACTTACCTAATCCCTAACAATTTCCTAACATTAACATGATATTGTGAGGATGCTTTTGAACTTCTGTTCTTCCTTCAATGTGAAAAAGGTTAAAAAACCCAAACAATAACATGGTCTCCTGACTAATGGCACTGAGGATGGGGTTTGATAAGCATGGATCAGAAAATTGTCCTCAGTCACAGTGTTTCTTGTCAGACACTAGACTGATCAACAAATCAGTCGAGAAACTGTGAAAGGGTTAAACTCAACTCCATATCATGAATTTCATGATCTTACACATTCAGAAAGACCGTTTTGATATTTTGTTTGTTTTTTTCTCAGTAGATAAGAGTATTTAGATTGTAAACACAAACACTTAAAAGCCTTTCGAACATCAAGGTATGAAGAAAAAAACAGCAAACAGAACACAAGTTGAGTGTTATGAATATGAGACCCAAAACCCAAGAACTCGAGATCTACTAGAAGAAGAGTGTTGAACTCCAGATCCTGGGTGTCAGATGTTCCCCTTTAAATTACTTCAACATGTAACACTAGTCGACTATCACGCTACATAAAATCACAGACATGCGCAGGGACGATATCTTACCTCGTCCCATTTGATAAACTTGCTCCCCCGTTTGAGCACCTCATGGACAGACACCGGTTTGAGCTGCAACGCGTGTACTCCCGGTTTCGCCCCAGCCATGACTGCTGAGTCGGCGGGTGGCGACGCCTCTGCTTCTCGGTTTGAAGTCTCTGACCTTCAGTGGACAGAAGCAGAGCCCGAGCGAATGCCTCGAGTTCGGCTGGCTCAACGCACGCGGGCGCGACTGTCACACATCCACGAGCAAGCGCAGTTTATGACTTCAGCGATTGTTTATTCGTCTAAGCGCTTATCACTGCAAGGACTTGAATTTATATTTTCCTTCCTGTCCGTCCATCCGCTCGGTAATGATGAGATCCCAGTTCAGGAGAAACTTTAAGCGAACAGACGAGGGAGTGTTTTTCTTGTATTTTCTTCTTTCTTTCCGTTGTCATTCCAGTATTTAGAAGCATGTGCTGCTGGTAGGATGTATCTAACATGAGGAATCATAGCTTTCGCTTTTCTCTGGTACAGATTTCCCCCCTTTTTATGCTTGTTTTTCCTCTTTCCAAGAAATAATGTTAAACACGAATCGCGCAGTGAGGCAAAGAATTTGACTTCTTATGAAAAACCCAACTACATGGATATAGGCCTATCCTAGTCATTAAAAAAATTAGCCAATAAAAGTTAGCAGAAATTATAATTGATCTTTCTTTTATAAATTAAATATATTCCAACCTCTCATTCCTCAAATTTACACGTCTTAATTTATGAATTAGGATATTTAGGATATTTCACTGTTTGAAGGCTTGCCTGTGTTCACGGTGAGGAACATTTTTGGCCAGAGAGCCTGATTTCACCCACAGCCGTGCTAGTTTGTCTGCAGCCAAGATCAAGTTTAAAAAAAAAATTCAGAGAGCTGCCCTGTGTCTGAAAATTTCTACATTCTCATATAGTATGTGAAAAACAGTATGTGAAAAGAGTCGTGTGTCCGAATTCATTTAGCATTCATAAAACAGTAGGTGAAACTACCCGGATGTCTTACTATTTCCAGCAAGTTTCAGAGATGCGCATTATCCAGTGGTTACAGGAGAGGTGTGAATGGCTGATGATGGTAGGTCATTGACAACATAACAAATGTAGTACATCCAGATTACATTCACACCACACACATTCATACCATATAGAACAAACTTTTTTAAAGATCTTAAGTTCAAATGAAGTGTATGTGTTTTCGAAACAGCCATGTGTTTTCTCTGGCTTCAGTTTAATTCGGTTTCTCACAGGAAATGGAAAAGCTGGAGTCTGTGCATTGCTGTCACATGTAAAACTTGATGTTTTGGGCTGCTTTGGGATGTTTTCGAAATCAGGTGGACTATATTAGAGGAGTAATGTCGGGACCCTTGAATAAGGGCATAGGGGTGATTTCTGATACAGCCTGGACTTCTTTTGTGACACTTTTCATTTTACTTTTTGAACTGTATAAATAATCCAAATAAAAGGGAGTACATGTAGCCTAAATATAAATATTATGTGATTCTGCTTAAATTTTGTCCATACTTACGGTTTGATCTAATCTCTCAATTGAGTTATAAACAAACTTACTGTCTAACCACAGTAAAGTTAAAATATTGTGATAATTAAATGAGTCAGGTGGATGTTTGAAACACAGCCTATGAACCAGTCTTCAGGTAGACTTTTTTTTTTGCTGCATGCAAGAAGGTTCCAGCTTGTCAGCACCCATTAATACTGCCCCCCTATACCTCCTCCACATTCCTGAACAGGTGTCCTCTTCCCAAGATGAAAATATACAGTAATTCTCCGGGGAGAGCCAGAAAACAGAAAGACAGTCAAACAGTGACCCTTCTCAACATTTATTACTTTTTGGGACACTCACCACACACAGAGAGACACATATTTTCAATGCCAAGCCCAGTTGGGCCTCTCATTCTGTGCTCCGAATGTGTCGTACAACCTTGGCTGTGAAGAATGTGATTTGTGGACTCATGAGGGCATGCAGCTTTGGTAAAGCTGGAACAGAACGTTTGATGCAGAATAATAACCGCTGCAGTGAGAGGGAAAGATGGGAAAATAAGGTCATGAGAGGAGAGATAACTGAAACTTCGATAAGTGAGTGGCCCAGTCACTCTAATCAGAGACTATTTCTGACCAAAACCAAGCACTCACAAAGACATGCTGTATTTTAGCCTAGGGACACAAGTTAACACACACACACACACACA